TGCAGGAAAACTAGCAACGAAGTAAAGGGCTGCAACTCCTTTCTGCTATCTGCTCTGTTTGCAAATACAAAGAAATTTAAAAAAAAAATAATAATAAGCAGAATGCTTGGTTTGCCTACTGCTTAAGTTACAGAAATAAAGAATAAAATAATAAAGGAAAGCAAGATTTTGGCACTCCAGATAAATCAATGCCATAGAATTCTTCATACAGTCCATAATGATTCACTGTTGCAAGAAGTCTAAGGGGTAGAACTTTACACAACAAGCATCCCTCTGTTTACAAGGAATTTTTATAATATCTAGAATGTTCCTTTATCTGAAAATTCCAGGGCTTTCCAAAGGGACATTCTCACATAGACCCTTCAGAGGCCAAGGAGTCTAGCTTCTATTTCTATACTGGGTAAGTTTCAGGGCATACAGGCTATTTCTTCAAGAACTTCAAGGAGCAAAAGGCTCCACCCCTTTTCCCTTCAGTCATTCTAGTCATGTCTGGATGGCCACAGGCCCATTCAAGAGAGTGTCTTCTTCTTGGCAGCCACTGTGATGGTTCCTTCTAAGGTCCAATTTGACTGAGCTAAGGAATACTGGTACAACTTATTTCTGGGTGTCTGTGAGAGTCTTCCCAGAAATATTAGCATTCGAATCAGTAGACTGAGAAGACTCTCTCTCCTCAAAGTGGGAAGGCATCATCCAATCCTTTGAGATTGTGAATAGAACAAAAAGGCAGAGGAAGGGTGAACTCACTCTTTCTTCTTGAGTTGGGATATCCATCTCTTTCTGCTCTCAGACATTGGAGTTCCTGGTTCTCTCTCAGGCCTTTGGATTAATAGGGCTTATTCCATTGGCCCTACCCCCACCCAGTTCTCAGGCCTGGACTGAATTACACCACTGGTATTTTGGTTGTCCAGCTTTCATATGGCAGATCTTGGAACTTACCAGCCTCCATAATTGTGTAAGCCAATTCCCATGAATACCCTCCCCTCGTTCACTGGAGAACCCTCATTAATATAATCATCTGGATATTCAATATCAAAAATAGATTTCTTCTTCTAAAGAAAAAGACTAAAACCAAAACATCCTGGTTTTGAGAATTCTGAGGACATTTGGCTACACACATTTCTCCCTGAATAAAAGCCACATTTTTCTTTTTAAAATATGTCCTCCCATGAAATTGATAGCCAGTAAAATTCTATCTTAGACCAGAAAGGACAATCTGCTCAGCAAAACTCTTTGAGTCTCTTATAATGCTCACATCACAAAACCTTCACATGGTTTTGAGGCATCCAAAAGGAAAGATAGAGCAGAGCACCACAGCCCATATGGCTCTATCCTGTAGGCCAGAGATCCAAAATATGTCTTTAGGGCCTTAAAAGTCTCATTCACTGAAGGAGAAAAAAGCAATGTCAGAGAAATAAGGAAAGCATAAATGTGAGGCTATGTGTTCAAAAAAGGGACAGTATGCCTTAAAAGACAAAGAAGACAGCAAACAAAGAACAAGAAAAGAGAGCAGGACTCTGTTCATAGGTAAGTTCTGAAAGAGCTGCCACCTCCACAAGGTATTTTCCAAGAGACCTTTATCCAGGATTCTGGTCACCAGGGTTTAATGGACAACAGCAGAGTGATCTTAGTGGAGAGATCTGCAGCAGCAGTATTAGCAGCTGACACAGAAAAAGTGATGAGCAATACTGATATTAAAAAATAAATGTTCCCACTTCCTAGGCAAATACAATCCCTGGCCAGACAATACCAGCACAGGAGCCTCCTGTTGGCTCCAGCTGCATCTCATCGGTGCCAAAAGCTCCATGATCCATTGAGTGACCACAGCTATTATTTCCATGTCACTGACCCACCTGAGCAGCCACAGCCCCTCTCAACTTGACTTCAGGCCAACGCCATCAGCTAAAGGCTCATCTGATGCCTGCAGCCCACTCCCTTCCAGCTAACGCCCTACTCCTCATTCTGTGATTCAAACCCTGAGGTAGGAATGTCTGCTCCCTACTCATATAGCAGCTACCCATATTTTTTTTTTTTTCTTTTCCAGGATGACTTATCCTTCCTTCTCTCTTGGATAGACAGAAGGGCTGGTTTCTACCCATCTGTTCACCTCAAAATATCACCCTCAAGAATGAGAACCCTACCAAATTTCAGGGAGGGCTTTATCTTATTCAAAGAACATCTACAATTAGTGATTTTCCCTTTGAGAAAATTTATTAACCTCTCAGATATTTGGATCCTTAGCTTTACACAGAATAAAAATTGATAAGGCTTCTTCCAACATTAAAATGACAGAATTCACTGGGTCTGTGATCACACAAAAAAAATACCTTTTGGTACAGACACTTAGCATTTGATGCCAGGGCTACAGTTATATCATCCTAAATGGTCTCCTTGGTTTTGATTTCATATTACTACAATAACATCATCATATCACTACTGATGAGCTCTTGTAATCTATAGCTATGAACATATCAATTCATACTAAAATTTTCAAAAGCTCCTAAATAGGAAAAGAAAAATTCTTCTGCTTAAGAATCAAACATCGTTGGCCAGGCGCGGTGGCTCACGTCTGTAATCCTAGCATTCTGGGAGGCCGAAGCAGGTGGATTGCTCGAGATCAGGAGATCGAAACCAGCCTGAGCAAGAGCGAGACCCCGTCTCTAGTATAAATAGAAAGAAATTAATTGGTCAACTAATATATATAGAAAAAATTAGCCAGGCATGGTGGCACATGCCTGTAGTCCCAGCTACTAGGGAGGCTGAGGCAGTAGGATTGCTCGAGCCCAGGAGTTTGAGGTTGCTGTGAGCTAGGGTGGGCACTCACTCTAGCATGGGTAACAAAGTTAGACTCTGTCTCAAAAAAAAAAAAAAAAAGAATCAAACACCCAAAACAGTAAAAAAAAAAAAAAATTAAGATTAAATTGCAAAGTGTTTGTATGTGTGTATTATACTTAGTTTTATCAAATTTCAGTTTCATGCACATAGACAAATGTGGAATCCTGTAAACATGGTTTTACCAACTTTATATGTTTATGACATTCCTCTTGTGAAAAATGTACCTCCACTCCTCAACAAAAGAAATGAGACACATTCATTAAGCTCCAGGTCATAAGACCTCCAGGGTATTTAGATTACTAGATCTCCACCTCCTGAACTTGGGCTACCAATTTCATGTAATCGATCCAGCCACTTTGTCTATCTCTTATGCATCAATGAAATCACTGCTTTCTTGGCTTCTCTTGGATTACTGGTGAACTCATAGGTATTAATCTTCTATTTCCAGATAGATTGAAAGGTGCTTGATATACTTATTTTATACCAACACGGCACCATGAATGGCACTTAAAACAGATGCAGAGTCTAATATTTGTTTCTTTTTCAATCACATTAGAAGTGCACCTGCAATTATATCTATCCATATAAATATATTTTAAGGCAAAGGAAACCAACACTAAATACTGCTCCCCACAAGTGGCTAAGTTGGAGCCACAGCCCAGGTGTGAGGAGCACTCCTACGGTGCCATCTCCTCTGCTTCAGTGACCATGGGAGGCACAGCCTGAAGTGCTGGGACATGAAGGGTTACATGGTTACAGTTTGGGTCATGTCCTCCAGCATAACTGCAAAGATGCATAGCTTTTACTTAGCCAGGTAAATTTGGCCCTTGCTGTTCCTCTGGTATTGAGGATTGGGGGGAATTAACTAACTGTCAAATAAAACACAATAACCCGGTGGATTAAATGACTAATCCTCTGTGTCTGAGCCACTCAGCCCTCACCGCTGTTAACTGCACCCTCCTGGACCAGATGCACTGTGGCTTGACTCCAGGAACAAAATTGTACATTCTGCCGAAAGGGTAGCCAGGCTGCTCAAGAGGAAAAAAAAATACTAATTGCAAATCCTTTCTATTTTTAGGCTTAATGTGCATTTTATTTGGCAGTAAGGGAAGCATGAATAAAACTCCAATCTTAAGAACTTTAATTTGCTTCCTCCAAAATGCTCATGTCAGTAGAGACCTTGGGAAGTTGCTCACACCATTCCCCTGACTTCAAGAACCCCACACATCTATAACAGCCCAGACAGATAAAACTCTAGAATATCCTCCTCACTTATGTAAGTCCAGCATTCTTTAAATATATGGAAGTTCTAACACATGATTCCCCTAAGGAGAATTCTTAAAATGACTTCACTGAACAATGTGTTTCACAAAGAACATTCCAATATTTCACCTATTGTCCCTTTAGCTTTTATGACTAGAGTTGCTCTCACATTTGCCTATGTATATGTTGTTTCTTTCAATTTTAATTTAACTTAATTTGCTATTGCTAGCCTTATATTCTAACTGAGAAGGTAAGTTCCTTAAAGGCAGGGACTATATGTATTTTATAGTATGTATTATATGTAATGTAGAGTATATAATATATATTACAGGATGACATTTTGTGGGACACACACACACATGTGCTAGCATGACTTCGTCTAATGCTTTCCCAACAAATGGACTTCTTTAACCTTTCCTCCAAGTGAAGAAAAGTCCTGAGATAACTAGGCTGAATAATGTTATTTATGTACATTATTATTGTTCCTCGGGCCATTTCTCTCACTGTTTTAGCAAACCTCTAGTTAGTGTTCTTACTTAACCTTTTGGGATCTGACAAAAACTATGAGTCCTTTACCGAGAAAGATGATCACCTATCCACGAAAATACTGTCTTAAATTCAGTGGGGGTTAGTGGCTCCTGACAGCCTTAAGCATCTATGCTAAGAACTGTTTCTCCACGATGTCTTACTTAGCATCTAACCTTTATTTTATAAGCTGTTCCAGATGTTTAGATGGTTTAAGCAACTGGAGATCCTCCTTGCTTCTCCTTGTCCCACTGGCCCAGATTTCAGGCTACTGAACTGAACAAAAATGATCACAGAGATGAAAGGTTGAGATGATGAGCTGACATTCTTTTCCCTGGAGAACCATGCACTAGTGTCTCAAATAAGGTACACATGCTCACCTTTTGGTCTTGACTGTATGCCAGAATCCAGTCCTCTTGCTTGGGGTGAAAAAGCAAGCTCTGGATGTAGAAATTCAGCCGGTACTTTTGATAGGTCGCCCCTTCATCTGAGCTGATCAGCAAGCTGCTCTCAATCTCCGGGTCTGTGAGTAACATGATCTGTAGCAAAGAATTGTTGGGGAAAGAAAACAACAGAAAGTTAAGTGGACAGCTTGCCAAAACTTAAAAATGAGGTAAAGTCTGGACAAGGGAGGGACAGGGGGAAGGAAGAGAATGTCGGCAAAACAAGGGCCTTGACTCGGTCAGGTTCATTCTTCTGTCTTGGACCAATGCTACAAAACCATTATCACTAAGAAATGAAAGAGGCAGACATTGGAAAGAAGAGGGAGAAAATAGATCACTGCACTCTCTTCTCTTTTGTAGGACTCCTTGTTTTCTTTCCAAGGTTATTGCCTGAAGCTGGAAGATTTCCCATTTTTCTCTTCACCTCAACCCTCCTTCCTGCTGTCCCTGTTTACTCTCCATTCAGGGGGAATAAAAGAGCAAGACTGGGTCTATTCTGAGAAAGAGGATGGAGTCCACTGTTTTTCTTCCCTACCTCAATTTCTTTTGTTCCACATCAACAATATCCTAATGTCATCCTACCTGGAGCCTAATTTTCTGAGTCTGGAGTCAAAATCTGGACTCTTTAAAATTTTCTCTAGAGATTTTACAAAGGCTCTTTTATCTGACTTCACCACCTTTTAACCTATTATATGGTTTACTTATTTACTTTGCTTCTCATCTATATATCTTCCACTAGAACATAAGCTCTGTGAAAATAAAGATATTTGTCCATGTTTCCATAGGGGTATCCCCAGCAGCTAAACTAAGCCCCAGCATGTATTATACACTCCATAAATATTTGCCAAATGAATGAATGAATGAATAAATAAATTAACAGAAAGACTTTTCAGAGTAGTCATGTGGTATTAGAAAGCTGTCCAGAACAGTTTGAGGAGATAAGAAAAGAAGTTCTATTGAAACAGTGGTTAGTTGCCCTTCACAATCTTCACTGAAGAAGAGGTTATAAACACGTAAAAGTTCACAGCTTCGGGTATTCTGCACTCTCTCGCTGGGATGCCTAATCTTGGTCAGAGCAATGTGAGTAACCCATAATAGTAGCAAGATGCAAGACCTGCCCTGAAAACTGCTTTTTATTCTCTCGTTTTATGCCTCCCAGAATGTGTGATAAACCACCTCATTCCTGACTCTCTGTGGGTCTCCTTTCACTCAGTCCAAGTGCTCACCGAATGTCTCCAGACAGGTGGCTTTAATGCTGCCCATTGACTTCTTCCCCATCAACTTATTAATTGGCACTCTCTGAATTTGGTTCGGGGAAGCATGAAGGATGTGTTTAATGTGTTGCTGTATGATGAAAAAATCACTGCAGCCTGGGGCTTAAAGATTAGCAGCTGAGGATGCTGCATGCCCAGGAAAAGGAGAGAGAGAGAGAGAGAGAGAGAGAGAGAGAGAGACATGTCAAAGAAGAGCAGAGTGCCAGGCACACTCATGGAGCTTCCTCAAGCATTTGGAGGCAATCATATTAAAATCTCAGGACAGTTAGTGTCACCTTTGAAAGTGGTATCCTGTCACTGTAAATGGCACAAGAGGTTGTGGACAAGCACATTCCGCCTGAACTCTGTTTATGTTAACCAGCATGAGTTTAAGGTTCCTTGCTGTTTTTTCAACTCCCCCCTGCCTTCTTGGAGAGGAGAAAAGGATGTGGTGGGGTCAAGGGAACACTGTGGCTGTCAGCGACTCTCCCGAGAAGATGCAAAGCACACACAATACTGAAGACTAATTGCCTCTGGTACCATGTTCTAGTGAAGCCTCTGCCCACCACCCATAAATTCCGACAAAGTTTTGGGTTTCTCTGTCTCTCACTTGCCAAGCAGACAGTGTTCCCTCATTGGATGGCTGACAAGGATCCATAAGGTAATCGGCTAAGCACAGATTCACATGGCTTCATTAAAGTCTAGCGTATGCACTAAGCACATATATTTGGATGGCTCCTAAATTCACAGGAATATTTCCAGGTGATTTCATATTTATTGGCACATAAAAACTGTTATTTTTTTGAATAACAAATAAGTCATTAAATGATCGCTTTGTGTCTCCAACCACAATTAACAATAATGTATAACAACCTTTTTGTACCATGCCAAAAAGTAATTTCCATGATGATATGAAAAGGCTCAGTTTTATAGAGCACCTATTGTCTCAGAAAAGGTGATTTTTTTTTTCTCCTTCTGATTTTCTACTTCCTTGTTAGCCAAACTACACTTTCTTCTCTTCCTATGAGTATAGATCTCACCATCTGCTTTCCCTGACAGACTACTTCATTAAAATAAAATTAAAAAAAAAATTAAAAACTGGGCCGATAGAATATTCCCAAATACAGATGATTTTAATGTATCTTTTGTTTAAAACATCTTTAATACTGATTTATACTCTAATTGATCAGACTGTAGGAGATATTCTGCATCTAGGTAGTGGGTGGTGGTGGTAGAATAATGCAAATATTTTCTAACATTTGGATACTTAACATTTTATAATAAAACTACTGATTTCTTTAGATTTTCTTCTTGATACTAAAAATAGGCAGCCCCAAATCCCACCTTCTCTATACAGCCCAGATGGAAACCCCCCATTTGGGAATTTGACACTTTGGAAGTGATGGAAGAGGGTAGGAAATTCCCCTTTGAGCTTTATAGTTGTATCTGTACTACACAAGCCTTCCAGTGGGTCCTCTTTCAAATTTCTGCCCAAATCTACTCAAAACAAACAGGTCAATCTGGATCCATCTTTGTTTAGCCATTTTTTATTGCATAAACAACTTTGTAAGACCTCCAGTAGGATTCAAAACAAAAGAAAAATGAATTGTTCATGACGTATCCCACCAAGTTAAACCATGTTTGTGTTACCATCTACTTCTTTACTCACCTCCATATATCATATCACAGATTGAGATTTTTATTGATTTTTTTCATTTAATATTATGGCTTGCATTCATTTTCAACTAAATCATAAGCACACAAACAAAAATGCACAAACATTAACACACAACACTGTATACAACATATACCAATTACTTAATCGTAACTTTCAAATTAATTAAATTACGATTAATGCAATGGCTGTAAAGTAGTGGGTATATGATGAATTATTATTAATTGAATGAGTAAAACATTACTTTAGTCTTAAATTCAAATTAGTTAGTAATTTTTCTTCAAATGAATTGAGGTTTGTCTTGTCATTTTCTAGGTTATAAAGTGTAAATAAGTTAATAAGTAAAGAAAGAATTTAATAAGATCTAAAGAGTAAAGGTTTAACCTGCTCGAGAAACAAAAAAGTGCAAATAATAAACATGATGCAGTCTTTAGACACAGATGATATTGTTTAAAAATAAATAAGTCCTATCTTTTCAAGAAGGTGTTCTACTGGGAAACATTTTCAAAAGGGTAAGTTCAAGTTAGAGAATACTTCTCAAAGTTAATAGATTATATATCTTAAACAAATCCAATGATCCCCATTTTTACTAGTTTAAAACGACCCTCTACCATCCTCTGACTTTTCATGTGACTTTGAATAAAAGGTATTTTGTTGTGTTTAATCCTCTGTATTCTGGAGTTTGATCTGAATAACAGAATATTAGGACTTTGTAAAAGACATGAATCCAAGTTTTGCATGTTCCTAAAGTGAGCTCTCTAAAAAAAGGGGTCATTGTTTACCTGGAACAAAGCTTGTTCCATAGTAGGTTCATATAGCCTTGCAAATGAATAAATGGATGGATAAATGAATTAATGAGTGAGTCCTTTTCATTCCTGCCTTCTGCTGAATGCAGCCTGGGGGGCTCTGTACCATTGGGAGTCCCAGTTCTCCTGAAAAAAAAAAATCCTTGCTGTTCTCCTAGGAGGAGAGGAGCGTGAAGACAAGAGCAAGAGACTGCCTTTAACAGGAAAGTAATTATTCTCTGTTCAGATCAGCCCATGAGTGATTAGAACCAGTTTACTTACGCCTTGCAGGGTGTGCAGATGCTGTACCGACTGCATCTGCAGATGAATTGTTTCCCATAGAAAGTCAATAATGGCGATGCAGGCTCCCACCACCCAACTCTAAGCAATCATTTATCATCCACTTTGGGAGGAGGAAGAAACTGTATTTGCTTTTCCTAGATGTGACAAATGAACATGAAATGCAATTTATAGATTGCAAATACGTCACATCTCCCTTTTTTCGGTATTAGTCCTTCTGACAGCTCCGTGTCATCAAAAATTAAAAGCACCTCTACTCTTTTTGGCTTGTTTCAGATTCAACATATGGTTACGTGATGTAATTCTACAAAAGGCTGGCAGGCAGCTTTCTGATCTTTCCAGGGGTCTACCGTGGACCCTCTTTCCAGAGAAACACTGCTACTATTTGGTTTTCAATTTTTTTTTTCCCTTTATGTGTTGTTCTTGGAATTCTACCTGTTTAGATCAAGCAGTGTTAATAAGGAGCACTTCACCACCTCTGGGCATACACGTTTTTCCCACCATTTCTTTGGTCGTAATGCAAAAGTATTTGTTTTATGTGTTGTTCATTATTTGTTAGCTAATTTGTTTAGTCTTTGTCATTTATGGCTGGAATCAAAAAGAGGTAATGTGATGCTGTTGCAGATATCTCTCTTGCTTTTCTCAAGGCTTAACTCAGCTCCAAAAGCTCCTATCACAGGTGCATAATAAATGTTTTTCAAATGGTAATGACAACGATGACAAAGAAAAACAGCAACAGCAGCACTAGGGCACTACAGTTACCCACTCACCTTATTCAAACAGAAATATTTCTATCTATAAACAGCACAAGAGGCTATTTGAAAACCTCTGGTCTCAAAATTAAAAACAAATTGAGTAAAATGTAATCAGAGCAAGTGAGTAATTTGAGGACCAACATGAGTAGAAAAGCTTCCTATTCCCAATGTGCCCTCAGCATTTATCCTTCCCACAGGAGCTAAGGGTGAGGGCAATATGTGCTTATCAATGGGCAACTATTTGGAGGACAGTATTAGAGAAGGTTACACAGGATCCCTGAATGATCCACGGAAAGGAAATCACTAAAGTACGTACAATAGTGAAAGA